ATATCCCCCCTCAGCCTTCGCTTTGTCAGACTAGACGACTAGAGCTCCTCTAGTCTCCTTTCATACGACAGGTTTATATTTGCCTAGTTTATTGATAAGAATATCATGCGAGACCGATTCAAATGCCTTACTAAAGTCTAGGTATACCACATCCACAGCTTCTCCCTTATCCACAAGACTCATTATCCTATCGAAGAAAGCTATCAGATTGGTTTGACATGATTTGTTCTTTACAAATCCATGCTGGCTGTTTCCTATCACCTTACCACCTTCCAAGTGTTTGCAGATGATTTCCTTAATTACTTGCTCCATTATCTTCCCTGGCACAGAAGTTAAACTAACTGGTCGTAGTTTCCTGATGAGGAACTTTGTCAAATGCTTTCTGAAACCCCAGATACCCTGTATCTACTGGATCACCCTTGTACCCATGCTTGTTGACACCCCCCTCAAAGAATTCTAATAGATTGGTAAGGCATTTTTTCCCCTTACAAAAGCCGTGTTGACTCTTCCCCCAACATATCGTGTTTATCTGTGTGTCTGATGATTTTGTTCTTTACTCTAGTTTCAACCAATTTTTCTGGTACTGAAGTTACGCTTACTAGCCTGTAATTGTGTATATTGCCTCTGGAGCCTTTTTGAAAAATCGACATTACATGAGATATCCTCCAGTCATCTGGTACAGAGGCTGATTTAAGCAATAGGTCCTTGTCTTATTGGTAGAATAGGTTCTATCAACACAGCAGGTATATAAGTCAGTCTGCTGGTACTGATTTCCTAGCTACCTCTGCCAGGGCTTTGGAGAGGAGCCCGGAGCTAGAGCATGGACCAGTAGATTTTTGCCCAGAGCTGGAGTGGAGCCGGAGCGGAGCAATTCAAAAATTTGATTGTTCCAAATCCCTGACCTCTGCCCGTTCTTGCTAGCTATCCCTGTGGCGAATCTCTCTCTTTCCAGGTGTCTTCTTTCTCTTTCACTTCCTGGGACCCCCCACATACCACACTTAATAGAAGTCTGTAAACAGGTAATCTATGGCTGTGGTAGTGTATTTAAGCTTTCAGTTACATCTTCTACATTATTAATCTAACTGCACAGCCAAAATTAGTGCATTTGCCGGAGTAGTTATGAATTACTTAAAAGCTTTTTGTGATGCCTAGCTCTCCATTTTCTACATATCAAATTATTCAGGTATAGATGTGATTATGATTTAACTTTGAAAACGTATGTAGAAAAAATAGGGGGATTTTGTACACTTGACGCACAAACTTTATAGTTAAATTTTAACTGTTTCAGAGATTACCAGCCGACTCGCATTCAGTATTCATGAACAGTTTAAAAGTGTGTGTGAGGGTGTTGTTCATAATTTAATGTAACTAATTTTTTCAGTATCACTATAATTTGGCTTTTAACTACTGCTGATTTTATTTTTGGCTACAGAGTCCATTGTTTGAATGTTGGAGTGGATGAGTTGAGAAAACAATTTTGGGCTTTCTAAATAGTGCAAACGAAGATGTAAATAGAGGGAGAGATGTAAATATATAAGGGAAAGAACAGGACCATGTACAGCAACTCAGAATAAAAGATTCTCTTTTTTAAAATGTGATTATTTTGCATAGATAATTTAGTCTGCTTTAAAGGTATATGGCCTGATTTTCAGTGGTGTTGAGCACCAGCAGTTTTCACTGAAATCATTGGGAGCTGCAGATGCAAAGCAGTTCTGAAAAATCAGACATTGTTTAGTAGGTGTAAAATTTTCCAGTTTAAATGGGTGAGTAAAACATCTGTAGTTTTTTTTTCCCCCATTATCATCAGTCATAATAATAATGAACAGATTAGTAGATTTCATATCTAGGCTGGTAAATTTGCATGACAGTTTTACAAAGCTATCTAATTTGTTCATACGGCTGTATATCTTAGGCCTGGTCTACACTGGGGAGGGAGAGGAGGAGGGGGATCGACCTAAGATAAGCAATTCTGCTACAAGAATAGCGTAACTGAAGTCGACATATCTTAATAGTGAAACCTATTTTAAACAACCAAAACAAATCAGTTACGTAATGGAAGAGGTGTTCTAATAAAGATGGGTCAGAATTGTACCCAATATGCTTAGGGATAATTGTACAATGTCTTTAACACAGAAGATTGCCTAATGCAGGTTAGCTTTTGTATAAACGTAGCTTTTTATCAACTCTACCTTGCCTATTTCTGTCAACTGACCTTCCAAGCAATTTGGACAATGCAAACTAGCACAAACAAAAGGTAAAAATTCTACATATCCAAGCAGACTGAAAACATGTTATAATATCAGATTCATATTTCAAACTTTCAGAAATCGAAGAGCTTTCTGCTGTCTCACTTCCTTCCTAGTGTGTCAACAGAGCATTGCATTAAATATTATATTATATAAGAAAACATCTTTTAAAGGTGTTTGAATGTTTAGCCTGTTGAGGATATCTTTGGCTGGTCTAACAGTGCTTTTATAATAGAAATTAAAGCTGGTTTAAAAAATAGAGGTTGTGGGGCAAAATTCCTACAATATTCTGTCTTCAGTGGAACATTGACTAAAATTTTCTAAATTACTCTAGTAGAAATGCAGGTGCAACTTAAAGTTCAGTGACATAAACAGCAGTGTTATCATTTAATGACCCTAAACCAGATTATCTTCCTGTAATTCATGGGGAAAAGAAGTTGCTTTATTTCTCTTAAGAATTCTTAAAGACATTTTGGCAACTTTAAAAGCAATTTTAAATCAGTTCAGAATGAACTGTGATAAGTTGCCAAATTAATTATCTGAAATGTAGAGTAACTCAATTTTGTTTTTCAATTAACTTTTGTTATGCTTTATTATGCTTTATAGTCTCAGGATAAAACTACTGGAGGCGTTAATCCAGAACCGTGTCCAATTTGTGCCCGCCAACTGGGAAAACAGGTAAAAATCCAGGCATTGATTCTCACTTTTGCAGACCTAGGCTAAGAATTCTCAGCATTTTTAGACTAGATTTCAGCAATCTGAGTTTAACTGAATAGTATCTTTAAACTGGGAAATTTAATACTTTTCCAACATGTCTTCTTGATCAGATGAGCTAATATTTATATGTACTGTACCTTTTTGGTTCTTGTATTAGGTGAGAGGTAGACTAAACATGTCGTAAAAAGATGCATGTGAGAGAGCCTTTTCAAATAGAATCAACTTGTTTTGGAAGTCAAAACTGTGTTATTAGAGAAGAATAAGAGGGCAGAATTTTGATCCCCTTCTACCCATCATGGAACAAATCACCTTGGACAAGTGGGTTCTAGAAATAGTTAGCAAAGGGTACTCCATCCCATTCATCTCTCTCCCACCCCACCCCCTATCCCACTTCAGGGACCTTTCTCACAAATACCATCTACTAGAAGAGACCTTCTGTGACTGGGAGCCATAGAACTGATCCCATTCTAACACAAAGGGAAAGGTTTTTATTCCCACTATTTTCTGATCCAAAAAATAATCCGGCAGGTGGAGACCTATCCTGGACTTGAGGAACCTCAACAAGTTCATCGAACTACAACAATTCAAGATGGAACGGGGGACTGGTTCTCGGTCCACATACTTCCATATCACCATACACCCTTCCCACAGGCAATTCCTCCTGGGGTCCAACCATTTCACTGCAAGGTACTTCTCTTTGGCCTTTCTACTGCACCCAGGGTATTTTCCAAGGCCCTTTCGATGGTGGCGGCACATTTATGCAAACAAGGAATTGTAATATACCTATACCTAGATGATTACCATTTCAAAGCTCCATCCAGAGTCAACGCATTCGAAGCCATAAGAAAAACATTGGACCTTTTCTCAAACCTTGGCCTCCAGGTAAACATACAAAAATCAGTACTGACACCAGTACAGCCTCTGGAATTTATTGGGGCTCAGCTGGATGCTATGTAGGCCAGAGCCTTCCTCCCAGTTTAGAGATGTTCCGCAGTAATCAGTCTCATCTCCGCCATGAGAACCAGCCCATAGGTCTCTGCCAGGACTTGTCTATAGCTGTTCGATCATATGGCAGCAGCCACGTTCATGGTGAAACACACAAGATTACACATGCACTGTCTTCAGGGATGGCTACAAACAGTGTACGTACCCCACTAACAAAGTCTAAACAAACTCTTATCAATACCAATCAAGATTAGGGACTCATTAGACTGGTGGACACAACCCCGAAACATCTGCATGGGGATCCCCTTCAACCAACACTGTCTTTGATACTGATAACCGACATCTCCCTACTCAGTTGGGGAGCACATCTACAGACCCACACGATGCAGGGCAGGTGGTCCCCCTCAGAATCTGCATTGCACATCAACCTCCTAGAATTACGTGCAGTCCACAACACATGCCGACACTTTCTACCATTAATCAGATAAAGGACCATAAGAGTAAGGAGTAACAACATCAACTGCATGTTTTATATCAACAGACGAGGAGGAGCAAGGTCACCATCCCTGTGCTTAGAAGCACTAAAATTGTGGAACTGATGTATCCAACATGGCATTGACATCTCTGCCACATACCTACCCTGACACCAGAACACCACAGCAGACTTGTTGAGCAGAAGATTCTCACAAGACCACAAGTGGAAATAAGATACAAGAACCCTGTAGCATGTATTCAACCGCTGGGGATTCCCAAACATAGCTCTCTTCGCCACATCCGAAAACGCCAAATGTCCACAATTCTGCTTAAGAGCGGGTCTGGGTCTCTGACTGCTGGAAGACATCTTCCTCATTACATGGGATGCACCCCTCCCTACTCAATGCCTTTCCACCCTTTCCTCTGCTGTTCAAAGTACTTAACAAGATACAGGTGGAATGAGCCAGAGTCATTCTCATAGCCCCAGTATGGCCACAACAGATGTGATATCCTTACCTCGTGTTCATGATGGTCTATCTACCAATCACCCTGCAGTTGACTCCACACTTCTTCTTGCAGGATGCAGTCCAAATCCTCCATCCGAATCTAGAACGTCTCAGTCTGAAGGCATGGCTCCTTCATGGTTTCAGGATCCGGAGATAACCTGTTAGGAAGAGGTAAAGGACATTCTTTTAAATAGCAGACATGCTACAACTTGCTGTACTTACCTGCATAAATGGAAAAGATTCCAGACTTGGTGCAACACCAAACATATCGCAGCAATGAATGCTCCTTTCCCACTCATTCTAGACTACATTCTAGAACTTAAAAGATCAGGATTGTCCACAAGCTCTGTTTGCGTACATCTGGCCATCATTACTGCATTCCACCTCAAGATAGGTCATTCCATATTTACCCACCCACTAACAAAAAGATTCCTTAAGGGCCTTCAAAATATTTACCCTCAAATACAAGACCCCACCCCTCTGTTGGGATCCCAGTCTAGTTTTGCACTGTCTCACCAGCCCTCCATTTGAGCTCATGGCAACTTGCTCCTCCATACACCTATCTATGAAAACAGCATTTCTTGTCGCCATCACATCCGCCCAACTGGTAGGAGAAATAGGTGCTCTCATGGTGTAAAAGATTGTGTACAGAGAGTACAAAGATAAGGTCACACTATGACTACACCCAAAATTCTTTACCTAAAGTACCATCCTCTTTCCATCTAAACCAACCTATCCACCTTCACTCCTTCCCGAAACCACATGCCAACCAGCATGAAGCCGCACTACACACCTTGGATGTCGGACGAGCATTAGCCTTTTATCTTGACAGGACTAAATCATTCAGGCAATCACCAGGCTTATTCCTCTCTCTTGCTGAAAGATCAAAGGGATCAGCCATATCCAAACAACATCTATCAAAAAGGAGTGCATACACCTTTGCTATCAATGACACAAGTTTTGACCACAACCAGGAACTCGGATGCATTCCACTCACTTGCTGTCCACCTCGATAGCCTTTCTAAACAACATGTCGATTACTGACACTTGTAAGGTGGCCACCTGGGCATCCACAGATACCTTTAGTCAACACTATGTGATTACCCATGACGCAGCATCAGAGGCCTTACCAGGACACACTTTCCTATCCTCCTTAGAAGACGTCACTCCGAAGTCCCTGCCTTCCATCTAGGGACACTGCTTTACAGTCACCAACAGTGGAGCACCTATAGGGACACTACTTGAAAAAGAAGAGACAGTTACCCTGTGCAGTAACTGAGGTTCTTTGAGATGCGTGTTCCTATAGTGCTCCACTACCTGCCCTCCATCCCCTCCCTGGATCCCGGGGACTGGTACGCCGCCCTCGATCTGCAGGACGCGTACTTCCACATTCATATATTCAAGAGGCACAGACGCTTCCTCCGTTTCACGGTTGGGCAGGAACACTACCAATTTACAGTCCTCCTGTTTGACCTGTCTACTGCCCCCAAGGTGTTTACAAAGTGTATGTTGGTCGTGGCAGCCTACCTCAGGTGCCATGGGGTCCAGATCTTCCCCTCTCTGGACGACTGGCTGGTCAAGGGCAGCTCCTGGTCGCAGGTGCAGGATCATGTGGCGTTCCTTCTATCCACGTGCGCTACTCTGGGCCTGTTGGTAAATGACACCAAGTCCACGTTAGTCCTGGTACAATGCGTAGAGTTTATTGGGATGGTCCTGGATGCCACGTTGGACAGAGCCGCCTTCCCACCAGACAGGTTTGAGACCCTGAAAGCGCTCATCAACATGATCACAAGGTTTCCAGTGAGAGAGTGTCTCCAGCTCTAGGGGCACATGTCGGCGTGCATATATGTGGCCTGCCACTCCAGACTCAGGATGAGGCCCCTCCAGCTCTGATTGGCCTCGGCATTCTCCCAGGCCAAAGACAGGATGGACAAAGTCCTCACTGTGTTTGAACCAGTGATCGCCTCCCTCCAATGGTTCCTCCCCGGGGAACATGCTTCATGGGGTCCCGTTCAGAGGCAGGGCCCCATCGATGGAACTGGTGTCCGATGCATCGGGCCTGGGGTGGGGAGTCCTGTGCAGGACGTTCAGACTCAAGGTCTGTGGTCTGCGCAGGACATGGCCCTCCACATAAATGTGAAGGAGCTCAGGGTGATCTGGCTGGCGTGCCTGGCCTTCCCCTTGCACCTGCAGGGCCGGGAGGTCAGGGTTCTCACGGACAACACGGCCTCAATGTTTTACATCAGCAGGCAAAGTGGGGCCCGTTCCTCTGCCAGGAAGCCCTCAGGCTGTGGGACTTCTGTATAGCCCACGACATTTGCCTACAGGCCTTCCACCTACCGGACAACCAGCACTCATGGGTGGATCGCTTGAGCAGGGACTTCTCCTCTCAGCACGAGTGATCTCTTCCCCCAGAGGTGGTGCACAGACTTTTCCAAGAGTGGGGAACTCCCCAGGTGGACCTGTTCACAACTCGGCAGAACTGTTGCTGTTCCTGGTTCTACTCCGGGGGTGGCTGGGATGGGGCACTATTTCCAATGCCTTCCTCCTGTCCTGGTCAGGCCAGCTTCTCTGTGCCTTCCCCCCGATCCCGCTGATAGATAATGATGGATAGGGCCCGGGTCCTCCTGATTGCCCTGGCGTGGCCCAGGGAGCATCGGTACGGGACCCTCACGAGCCTGGCGGTCGCCCCGCTGTGGCCGTCCCACCTGGACCTGCTCTCCCAGGACCAGGGCTGCCTCCTCCACCCCAACCTAGCAGCACTCCACCTCATGGCGTGGCTGCTCAATAGTTAGGCCGGGAGGAAAGGACGTGCTTGGAAGGGTTTCAGTGTGTCCTCTTGGAAAGTAGGCGACCCTCCACACGCCGAGCCTACTTGGCAAAGTGGTCTCGGTTTTCCTGATGGGCAGATGAATGGGACGTTTCCCCCGTGGCTGCCCTGATCCAGCTCATTTTGGACTACCTCCTCATCTTAGGGCCCAGGGCCTGGCACCCTCGTCCGTCAAGGTGCACTTGGTGGCCATATCGGCCTTCCACCCATGGGTGCAGGGCCACACAGTATTCTCCCATGCTATGACTCAACGATTCCTTAAGGGATTGGATCTTCCCGTATGTTCGGCCCCCAGGCCCCTCACGGGGCCCCGCGTTTACGCGCTGGCTACGTGCTCCTGGTCGCACTTCTCGTGGAAGGTAGCCTTCCTGGTGGTGGTCACGTCGGATAGGCGGGTCTCGGAACTAAGGGCCCAGACCTCCGAGCCCGCATACGCGGTATTCCATAAGGATAAGGTCCAGCTCCACCCACATCCTTTGTTCCTCCCGAAGGTGGTCTCTGCTTACCACATGAGTCAGGACATTTTCCTACCGGTCCTCTGCCCCAAACTCCACGCGTCCAGTGAGGAGTGCCGCCTCCACATGCTGGATGTGAGACAGGCTCTTTTACCTGGAGCGGACTAAGCCATTCAGGAAGTCCTCGTAGCTGTTCATCACCTCGGCCAAATGTATGACAGGTCAGCCGATCTCCACTCAGCGTCTCTCCAACTGGATTACCTTGTGCATCCGTACCTGCTATGACCTGGTGGGAATTTCCCCGCCGTCAATTGTGAGGGCACACTCGACTAGGATACAGGCCTCTTCAGCTGCCTTTTTAGCCCATGTCCCCATTCAGGACATTTGCAGGGCTGCCTCATCGTCTTTGGTTCACTCGTTCACCTCGCATTATGCAATCGTCTTCCAGACCAGCGAGGATGCCGGGTTTGTGAACTCCTACCCACCTCGAACAGAGATAGCCTGGAATCACCTATTGTGGAATACACATGAGCAATCACTCGAAGAAAAGACAGTTGCCTTTTCTGTAACTGGTGTTCTTCAAGATGTGTTGCTCGTGTCTATTCCACATCCCGCCCTCCTTCCCCTCTGTCGGAGTTGTCTGTCAAGAAGGAACTGAGGGTGGGGGGAGCGCGCAGCACCCCTTATACTGCACCATGGAGGCGCCACTCCAGGGGTCGCTAGGGGCGCTCCCCTACGGGTACTGCTAGGGGAAAAACTTCCGACACCAATGCACATGGCAAGCACGCACACCTGTTGTGGAATAGACATGAGCAACACATCTCGAAGAACACCAGTTACGGAAAAGGTAACTGTTTTTTCAGAAACAAATAATAATTGATAGAATAAATATCAATAATCTAGATTCTTTTTCAGAACTAGAAAAGCCAGAATTTTGGAGTGAATTTACTAAAAAATATTTTATTTTGGCAGCTACCTTATGGGATTTGTTGTCCTATGACTTTAAGTGCAGGTACAGCATGGGTAATGGTAGCTTTTGCTACACTGGCCTACCAATATACTAATGAAATTTAACCAGTGACCTAAGATTGAAAGCTTCATGCCCCCTTTTCAATCCCCTGTATTATCCAATCCCTCAGAAATGTTTCTTATATACAGTATAATGTCTTAAAGTTGCATTTCTATAAGTGGTGTCTTTGGACCCCTAGTGGTCTACATAGAGCTGGCTGGTCACATGGTGTTGTTGACTCCTTGTTTCCAGTTGCTAAAAAAACCATTAATTACAAAATATTCTTCTGTAAGGAACTCTTGTAGTTGCTATAGGGATGTCGTATGATACCAGTTGATAGGGGAGGTGATCAGCACAATCATAAGTAGAAGGGAAGGTGTCCACAACAGAATACTCCATTATCTTATAGTCCACACTCTAAAAAAAGGTTGAGAACTCCAGTTCACAATCTTCTTTCTTTAAATAAAGGGGTGCCATTACACATAATTTAGTAATGATATACAAAAAATCAAAACATTGTTTCATGAGTTTTGGAGTAAGGATTGTGACTTTTGCCCTTAACAGGATTTATAAAAACAAAGCTTTTACAAAACTGAAGGCCAATAGAAATAGTCTGTAGATTTACAAACAGTTATTATTTAACAAATATTCTTTCTGTGATGTTTGCAACCTGGTTCCAGTGCATTAAATCCAAAAATAAAAAATTGGCTAGGCTGACTTGTCTAATTTTACTTTTTATACTGAGAGATATGCAAATAGTAAACAGCATAAATAGTACAGTTGGTGGGATAATTTTGTGAAAATTTCCATTTCTGTTGGAAAACTTCAAAAATCAAAATTTTTCAACCAACTCTAATTAAATAATATTTTTCTAGAATTTCTTCTGTTTTAATAATCTAAAGTGTTATTTTTCATAAAGGTAAGGAAATGTTTTAAATAATTTAACCAAATTATATATCTGAATTTTTTCTTGTGTGTGTATATATAAGAAGAAGAAAGTGGTTTTATATTGTATTGTTGTTCCTCTTATATTTCCCTATCTAGTGGGCAGTGCTGACATGTGGACATTGCTTCTGTAATGAGTGCATAGCTATTATTATAGAGCAGTACAGTGTTGGCACCCGCAGAAGTTCTATTAAATGTGCCATCTGCAGGCAGACAACTTCTCATAAAGAAATATCCTACGTCTTCACTGCAGAGACTGCAAACCAGGAGGATGATATTCCTGTGAAGGTAATTTGCCATATGTAGCGTATCTTGGCCCATCTGTTTAGAGATGCACACTTAGTATGCAACAGAGCGTGTGCATGCTCGATTTTGGCATGCAAACCCAAAATATGTGTTCACGAGTGGTGTTCGTTCATAAGCATGTAGGGTTTTTTCCCCATTCCAGCTGGGTGTGATTTACATGCACCTTTTTGATAATATGGTCCTCACTTTTATTCTCTTCTCAAAAAATTAGACAACTGGAAACTAACTATGAAGTAAACATTTTAATTTTTCTTAAACATAAAATGCATGCTAGTTACCCGCTTAAAGAACAGACGTGCCACATGTGATGGAATCAAAGATCAGATGTTTTGGAAGGATGCTTTTAAATGTCTGATTGAAGTCTGTTAGAGATGAGTTACAAAACTATAATTTTTTTTAAAACTAGATAAATAGTTGTCTTTCATGTGAAAATAAAATCTGAAGGCCAGAACCTAAATGGAAACAGCCTTTATTGTGCTTTAATGAGGGTTTTCGTAACATCTCATCTCCTGTAAAAACAGACACATAAACATATAAAGGGCTGTGGACAACCTGCTTGGAAGATGGGTGAATGATTGGCTTTTTGTAGCTACCTCCTGTAGCTCTCGTAATTTTTTTTTTTTTGGGGGGGGGGGGAAGGGGAGGAAGGGAGGCAGGGAATTCTGAAGCCTTTTTTGCAGATGAGTAGCGCTTTCTTAGGAAAACTTGTTGCATCTTTATTTTTAACCAGTTTGTAACCAAACAGCTCAATCTTGATTTACCAGAGATCTGAATTTTGTTCCTGAATCTGGTTTTCGCACCTCTGTGTGTGGTACAGATTTAGGTTTATGGACTTTATGGATAGCCATGAAAGATTAGCTGCTGTTCAGACTATAGTGGTTTTAAAGGATAAGAAGTTTTTTTCCTTTATCTTTTTTTAAAACATTGCTCAATGAAGATTAGCATATACCGCATCAACTGTAGAACACTGTAGGCAGTCAATACAGTTGAGGAAACTACTCCCAGTAGTAGGCATTATGCCTGCTAGTAAGCATTTGCAGGGTCAGTCTTATTATGTGGTTCAGCTGTTTGTTTATTTAATTCTAGAGTGGATTCATGTAAAACTCTCCTTTCAATTCCTTCCTAACATTGTTTCCAGCATGTGGCTGCTTTCTTTCTCCATGGTGAAAAGATGGAGTCTGCAGCTCCATCCCTCCTCCATCTATTTTGCTTGCTGATTAGTCAGTGGGTTTGATTCAGGGTTACTGAGTGTACAAAGCTCTCAGCCTCAGATTTTTAAAGCTATTAGGTCGTGCTGTGCTCAGAGTCACATCACCTAAGACTTACTTTCAAAAGAGATTTAGGTACTTAGGAGCCAAAATCCTATTAATTATTTGTATTACAGTAGCGCCTAGAAGCCCTAATCATAGATTTGCATCCCGTTGTGATAGGCACAAACACACAACAAAAAGACAGTCACTGCCCTGAAGAGCTTACCATCAGAGTAATTACTGAGCTGTGTGACCTGTTAAGGCAGTTGAAACTGGCTGGCTCTTTGTCCCAAGAGTCCAGGGTTCCTTTCTATACCACTTTTTCTTTGAGATTGTCCATCTGAGCCCTTGTGCAGCTGTATTGAAGGCTTTTGGAGAAATCTTCCTATTAAGGTGTGTTCCTTCTTTGCCATTTTTGTCTCTTCCTGATGACAGAGTTTGTTTGGAGAGGAGTTATTTTTTTGGATTTTAAGTAATGTTTTGGGATCCCTAGGCTGCTGGGCCAGAAATATTCATTTTTGTTTTACAACGGTAGTTTTATAAAATTCTAGTTTAAAAAGAAAAGAAAACAAAACTGATCACTTATGGTGGTTGAAAAAACATGGATGAGGAGCCTGGATTTAAAATACAGTGGTAGAGAGTCTGGTCGTTTGGCAATGATTTCACTGAGGAAATTAAAGATACATCTACCCTGGAGCTAGCGGTGCAATTCCCAAATCAGGTATACATACATGCAATAGCTTTGATTGAATTAGCACACTAAAAACATCATGGTATCTGCAGTGGCACAGACAGCAGGATGAGCTAGCTACCCCGAGTACAATCCTGTTAGAGACCCTGGATATAGATTCGGGGAGCTGCCCCATCACACCACCCGCACCACTGTGACTACACTGCTATTTCACACTACCTTGATAAAAGCTAGCATGCAAATGTCTGCCTGAGCTGGAAATTAACCTTCAGTGTGGCATACCCTAAGCCAGGAGTCTCAAACACGCGGCCCGTGGAGTTATTTCCTGCAGCCCGGCATAGGCGTCGACTCCACCGGCAGCCAAGCTTCCTCCTCTTCCCACTCCCCACCCACCTCCCGCGAGCGCACCGCATCCCCGCTCCTCTGTCTATCTCCCAGCGCTGTCCATCACAAAACAGCTGTTTGGCAGTGCTTAGGACTTTCCAGGAGGGAGGAGCGGGGACGCAGCGCGCTCAGGGGAGGAGGCGGAGAAGAGGCGGGGCTAGGGTGATGCAGCCCTCGGGCCAGTGTACTAGTCCTCATGTGGCCCTCATGGTGATTTGAGTTTGAGATCCCTGCCCTAAGCCTAAATCAAATAGTGAATACAGGGCTGGAAGTAATTGGCATGACTTGGCACCAGGGGGAGTAGGTAGATTGTTCTTTGGGAGTGTTAGTAGTTTGGGTTTTCTGTTTGTAGGATTTTAACAATATTTTTCCATATTTTCAGTATTTACCCAGGAGTTTTGGAAGGAGAGGGTAAATGTCATTCCATCTTGAACAGTATAAGGCAATATCACGGGGGTCTCATTCATAGATTCATATATTTTAAGGCCACAAGGGACCATCAATATCATCCAGTCCAGGGGTAGGCAACCTACGGCACACGTGCCGAAGGCGGCACACAAGCTGATTTTCAGCGGCACTCTCACTGCCCGGGTCCTGGCCACCGGTCTGGGGGGGCTCTGCATTTTAATTTAATTTTAAATGAAGCTTCTTAAACATTTTAAAAACCTTATTTACTTTACATACAACAATAGTTTAGTTATATATTATAGACTTATAGGAAGAGACCATCTAAACATGTTAAAATTACTGGCACGCAAAACCTTAAATCAGAGTGAATAAATTGAAGACTCGGCACACCACTTCTGAAAGGTTGCTGCCCCCTGATCCAGTCTGATGTCCCACATAATTCAGGCCATAGAATTTCACTGAAGGATTCCTACATCAAGCCTATAACCTTTGGTTCAGCTAAAATATGAAACACTTCATGTATTTGCATGTCATCCTTGCATTTGAGCCATGCTAATATCTTCTTTGCATCATTCCAATTTTAGTACCTGTGCTGCAAAAGCAAGCAAGCTTTTTTTTAAAAAAAAATGCAGCTGTTCCCCCTCTATTCCTTTTTTAAAAGAATGGCAATACAAAAAAAATGTTCAGTGTCTGTAAGTACCATGATAAATGTTGGTAGCTCACGGATCTGTATGTGAAAATTTAGGACCAGTCCTATATTTACTCTTGTCTCTGTGATTGTCCCATTTCTCATTACTTTCTCTAGTCAGTGTCTTTCTTCTGTTTTGTCAAGTCAGCATTATCCACACAGTGGTAATGCTGCACTCAATTACATGTGGCACACTCTATACACGGAAGGTCATTATGGGGATCCTAGAAAGTTTTTCACTCTTTGTGGAAAGTGCTAGCTATTCTTAGTCTGCCATCTGATCAAGTGATATGCTCACACTAGGGATTTTTTAACACGGGTCAATTGATAGTTAACATGTTTATATATGCTAGTCTGGATATTCCACAACAGAATACAGATATTTGTGGATTACTCTTGTCAGACTAGCATGTACAAACATGTAAGATAACACAAGTTAAATGGCTATTATTTAACTCCAGTTAAACTCAAATGTAAACAAACGCAAGATGTGTTGCTGGGCAATAGGATAACAAATGTCCAGATTGTAAGCCAAGAATACATAGTATCTATGGTACATCTCCTGGGGGAAAATGCTGACTTATTTTTGGCACTAAGAATCATCCTCATTTAGTATTTATTTTTACTTAAAATGTGAACCACGGTTTCTTCCGTGTGGTGGGGGTTACGGAGGGGTTGTGTTTACACATGTTTTTTTCCCCCCCAAGTTCATGGTGTACCTTTAATTTGATTGTTTAGAGCAGAATGATTAAAAAAAAACTGGAGCAGCAAAGGGTCTGGGATATTTTGTACTGTATCCATAGTTTCAATTCTCTTGCTGCTCCGTTCACTCCTTTTAGGTGGCACAGATGTGCCGTACACTCAAATCAGCAGGAGAATGAGTTTGCAAAAACTGACAAAAAGCAGAAAGTAAATAGGAGCTGTGGAAAGAATGGAACCACAGAGATGAATGAAGCAGCAAAAACTGCTTTTTTTAGGTGTAAAAATTACCAAATTTAAAGGTATTTTGGGGGTGGTAATTTACAAAATCTCTGTGGTATTGTTCGGTGAAGGTTTTTGTCTTCCTTTTTAATGCTGCTGATCAGTCAAGAATCTGGAAAATATCGTCCCTGTCCTGAAGACTATATAAGGCCTTGAAACTGCAGACACTTACACAAGTGAGTTACTCACTGCCTGAGTGGTTACAGGACTCTAATTTTGTACATCATGACAAATTATGTTAACATAAAGAGAGGTATGAGGATGGAATGAAGGAGGACCAATACAATAATAAAATCACATGGTTACTCAAGCTGGGTATATAAACACTTTGAACTTTCAATTGAATTAATATATTTTCTTTGGGCAGTTTTTCTGTTGCAAAGATTGAATTTGGTAGATTTGCTTTTAATTCATTTGTCAGTGTTTGATGTGTGTGAAGAGAGCTTCCTAATTATAAGGCTCTCTGTAGCGTAAATGTGTGATTTCTGTAAAGTGAAATGGTATGAAGCAGTTCTGTAGCACATCTGCACAAACACTGTACAAAAAGGGAAAATGGCCCACTTACCCACTGTTATTTGTGTTAGTTATTTCCACCGTACAACTAACTGTGGTGCTGTTGACTAAACTAAATTGGTCTACACTCTTGAGAAATTCTACATTTTAAAGTATTTCTTGTACAAGTAGTAGTTCTGAATGGCAGAGTGATTATCTTTTTCTGCTTGTGAATGGATGGTGGCAAGAATTACAGTACAGACCCATTTACGCCCAAATCTGCTTAACGCACTGTAGCGCCATGCCTCCCAGTGCTACCTATTTAACACGTGAGACTCGTTAACACGCGGTACAGGAATTTGCTATGTAGTGCTACAGATTTGCTCACTAACTCACTGACCTAGAAATCAACAGGAAGTGTGGAGTGGAAATGTGTTGTACGTCTTTACCGCCAACCGGGGGGGTGGGGGGGGAGGGGCAGCAATGTTAAAGCGCTGCTGCGGCAAAGGACCATCCTTAAAGTGCTTTAAAGCACTTTAAGGACGGTCCTTTGCCACGGCAGCGCTGGGCCGCCGATGGGGGGAGCGGGGGGTTGGGACAACGCAGCAACGTTAAAGTGCTGCCGCGGCAAAGGACACTGCAGCGCTTTAAGGTCTCTGCCCCTGGGCCGCTGATGGGCATGGGGGGGCAAAGGGAGCAGCTGCCCTGGTGCCGGCGATTTAAAAGGGCCCGGGGCTCCGGACACCACTACCACAGCAGCGGCATTCGAAGCCCTGGGCCCTTTAAATTGCCATGGGAGCCCTGGGCGGTGCGGACCAGGCGGCATGGAAGGGCTGGCTGGGGGATGCTGACCCCTAACCCCGCCCCTTCCGCCCAAGGCCCCGCCCTTTCTGGGGGCCAGAGCCTCCCTTGCCCCGTACCAGTAAGTGTCCTGAGTTACTTTCACCACTGTGTAGTAGTAATAATGTTTTTATTAGATTACACATTTGAGTTTATATTCTTACAAAGCGCCGTTAACAGATAGGCCTGCCGTATTTGGGACGCTGTGAATACATATATAATCCTAGATAATTATACATGTGTATATATAGATATCTTAAGATATTTCAGCATGGCCCTCTTAACCCACAGTCCGTTAACACGCGGTTGTGACGGCTTGACTCCCGACATCCGCGCGTAAACAGTTCTGTACTGTATCATCTTTTGGCCATGGGGCAGCTTATTAAACCTTTGAAAATATCTCCTAAAAGCAGCCTGTCCCTGGAAGCAGTGAAAAGAGGAGAAAACTGTCCTAGACCAGCTCCCTTTTTTCATTCTCTAGTCCACAGCATAACATTTCCTTGGCCAGCCAAGTTTGCCTCATACCAAAGCCTGATTAAGTCCAAAGTATTGTGCTGATGAGGCAACTACTAACTGTTTAGGCAACACCTTGCATAATTACCTGGAACTCCAGGCAAATCCAGCCCTTTCTAGGAAGATTCACTGACGTTCAGTTCTCAGAAAAGGGGCATCACTCCAACTCCCAACCTCTGTAGGGTCATACCAGTTTAGCTCCCCTATTTATTTTATTTCCCCCTCCACCAGCTTCCCTGGGGAATGCTTCCAAACAAGGTACCACCCAAAGCTGCAGTCCTTTGATTCAAAGACAAACTAATTGTACCATAAAATCATAAGTGGCCGTACAGTCACTTCCAAGTCTAGAGGTAATCCGGAAGACAAAGGAGAGAGAGAAATTGTGTCTTGCAGCAGTGTGGAGACCAGAGTAGAAAGAAGCTTAGTTTCACTTGGGGAACCACCCCATCCCCCTGCAACTCCGTCCCAGCACTTATAAGAATTAACCAATCTCAACTCCCCTAACAAAGGATGGGTACCATTGGCTGGCTGTTGCCATAGAGCCGCCAAAGGTATCATCCAGCCCCCAAGTCTCCAACCCTTTTTTAGATATACATCTTTTGAACAGTCTACTCACGCTTCTGGAAACAGGATTGTAGATGTCTGCCAGGTACATATCAGTAGCAAAGGTGTTGGCACCAAGAGTTGTTCACTCCTGTACCCAGGACATAGCACTGAAATCATTATAGAAAATAGTGGCAAAGAAGCTGGCACTGCATACGGAAACCCTTGACAGCTCTAGCTTTTATACAGATTTTCCTCAAGCATTCACATAGCTACTTGTGACATATGAATGCTTGAGCAGCCCAGTGCTTGCTCCAGGCACTCACTTAGGGTGGACTCACTTCCCCACCAATAGTACAAGCAACAAAACTGCACTAAATTTGACCTGTCAGTATAGCACAGCCAACCATGTGCAAATCAGCATTCAGAAAACAGGTGTAGACAAAAATAAAACAATACTTGCCTGGCTGAGACAACTGCAGCGTGCAATTGTATAAGCACTTTTAAGCAATAAAATATCTTTAAAAAACACTAGGTAAAATTACTGCAACACATATTCATAATAAAGGAAATACATTTTCTGATTGCCAGGCAAACAGAGCCCATATGCAAACAAGTAAATGGCATAGAGAACAAAGTGAAGAATGAGCAAGAAATAGAACATAGTAGTGTACTCTTCTGTATTGAGAACATTGTAATTTGTGTACATAAGATTGAATGAATGGAAGGTAGATAGAGTAGGTAGACAGGATTTGCATTACAGTACACACTTAGTATGTACTTTTTCCTGGATTGTTCTTAGTTTGCATAGCTAAAGGTAAAAATAGTTTTTTAGTATTCAACTTTACAGTTACAAGTCTCACTGTGACAAATTTAAAATGGCCATTTGGTTAATAAAGATGTAACTTATATATTTGTAATACACCTGGTAAAATAATATACTTCGCTTTTGATCTAAGAATCTGTGTTTTAAAAATATTGCTATTTAATATATTTCACCCCTGTGAATTACACATGTGATGAAATCAAGTAGGGCTGACCTAGTTAGAGGAGCAAATTTTTAGTAACCTACAATAGAGGGTAAAAATGTTACATATGTATTGTGACAAAGCTCTGTCCTTGTCTCCATGGGTCCCGCGTTTCCTCGCAGATTTCGCTAGCCTCAGAGGCTCACTGTGACCCTCCACATAGCCCTTCTCTCTCTAGAGGCAGGGGTCACAGCCTACTGAGCCATTTTCATCATAAGCCAGCAAGGGAGGTAAGGAGAAGCTATCCTCCCTTGCACAGTCTCTGTTTTCTCTCAGTCTCAGTGATTAATCGGGGGAGGGGGGCAAAGAGGGGAGCCCGGGCCCGCCCTCTACTCCAAGTTTGAGCATTGGCCTGCTAAACCCAGGGTTGTGAGTTCAATCCTTGGGGGGGCCATTTAGGGATCTGGGGCAAAAATCTGTCTGGGGATTGGTCCTGCTTTGAGCAGGGGTTGGACTAGATGACCTCCTGAGGTCCCTTCCAACCCTGATATTCTATGATTCTATGATCTCTCCCTATGCCATACTTCTGCAATTACAATAACACTGCTCTACAGCCAAAATGCTTCTGAAATAAATGTAGTCAAACTTTAATAATTTTTGGTCACTGAGAACGAAAATGATGCTGAAAATTTTTGATTGGCTCTAGTTTTCAAGATATGCTATTGGGTCAGTATATACGACCCTTGACTTGGGAATGGCGGAGGATAAGTGAGTTATAA